ACAGAGACTTCATGGAGAGCCAGGACTCTCCCACTGCCTGGACCCAAGGCCACCTCTCACCGAAGGTCACTGGAGGATTATGGGAGGCCAATCAATTCTCCAATCTGCCTAGAAAGGGGGGCAGCAAGGGCTAAAGAAAGAAAGACAATAGAGACATAACATCCTAATACATGTAGGGCTGGGAGGTCAGTGCCTCAGAGCAGTCAAAGACAAAAGACACTCCGAGCTAGCCATCATTTATTAGGTGCACACAATAATTGGAGGGAGTACTGGATGACTTGGGTGACTCTGAGGGTCTCATACGTTGATGAGGGCGGTTAGAAGAGCAAAGCAATCTTACAATAGTAAGTGGGCCTTCTCCCAGGTGAAACCTTTCTCTTTTTGTATTACTACTTGGTTCTCAAAGAACCAGGATGTCTTCAGGTGATGTAATCTTGCCCTTGAGTGTCACAGCATCACAGGACCACTGAGGCCTCAGCTTGTGACCAGAGGTACACAGGAGTTATATTTCCGCATACCATAGCCAGCCTGTAGGCAAGAAGACTAGGCTTCAGACAGCCCTAATCATAATTTAATTACAAAATGATTTTTCCTCAAAATTATATAGAATAGCTCTCGACAAAGGCTCTGTGGGTACCAACAAAGAGGAATTCCTACCACCCCTGCCAGACTGGTATCTGGCAGCCAGCAGAACCTCCACCCCACCCAGCAGTAACAAGGAGATAGCACACCCCCTAGTGGAAGCCAGGTGGGAACAGGTTCTCCACCCCTCCTGGTAGGGACAAATCCTCACCTCTCTTCCCTTTGCTTAAGGGATATCGGCATAGACTGGGATTTAAATAAAATCCAGAATCTCATAACATAAAACCAGAGTCTCCAGGATTACATTTAAAAATAAAAATACTCATTAATACAAAGAACCAGGAAGCTCTTACTCTGACCGAGAAAGGACAGTCATCAGATGCCAACAAGGTGATGACATAGATTTTGGAAATATCTGAAAAGATTTTAAAACAAAAATGATTCAACAAGCCATTAAGAACACATATTGCTATTGCTGTTTTCATGCACTAAGACCTGTGTGCAGGGCTTTTACTTTTCTGTCACCCAGGCACCATTTTTCTGTCTGTAGTAAACCCTTTGTTTTCATGGACTTTCCCTGAGCACAACTTCCAGTGATCTTCAATAAATGTAGCTGCTCGCCACTTACCTCCGGTATAATGCAGTAAAAAACAAAAGAGCTGAGTCACCCCCTCCCCTCCATTTAATTCTAAACACCACCCAACAGTTATTTCTGCTTCCATTATTCTTAGAGAGGTAAAAAAAAAATAGTAATAATAACATAACAAAAGCCTAGGAGATCACCATGCCCTAGGCAAGAGTACAGGCACCAAAGCTCTAGCTGGAAGAGAAGGGCAATTTGGTGGGAGGCAACTAAAGCCAGAGGTGTCTGGCCTTTAAATCTGAAAGGTTGCATTATTGGCCCTCGCTTCCCTTTTTTCCTGTTGCTGCTGCTACCTTTGGCCTGTGTACAGTACTTTTCTGTTACCCTGGCACCTTACTTGGTCTGTGTTACACCTTTGTTGGCATGGACCGACCTGGAGAACAACTTTTTGTGATCTTCAATAAATGTAATGACTTACTACTTAGTACTGGGTGTACACTTGGCAATGCTTTCCTGGTCATATGGCACCCACACCCACACAGGGTTGGAGATATCCAATCTCCAGGCAGTCGGTTTTATTAGGGGACACTTTGATAAAAGCTGAAATTGGTTGTTGATTATCTAGAGATGTCCTGTCAGGCTCCCGTGCAGGAACTAATTCAGAAGAAGGCTCTATAAGGCTATATGACCAAGGAATTCCACCTTACCAGGTCATGACCATGGGGCTCAAAGGACTGGGGAACTAACAGGAGATACCCTATCAGGTGCCCACTAATAGATGGGGACTAATTTAGAGATAGGCTTGTTAGGTTTCCCACCTCCTGTTCCAAAGCCATTTTGGAATGTGTATGCCTGGTCCAGCCCACCTGACTCTGTCTAAGTGCCTCCTCAGCTAGTCTCTTCTTCAGCCAGGAATGTTCAGCAGTGCAAGGTAAAACTGGGTAGATTCTCTGAGGATCCTGAAAAGTTTGCTGATAATTTCCATATCCTAACAGTGGCTTTTTGACCTGACCTGGAGAGCCCTGGTTTTTTTGTTTTTTTTTTAAATTAATTTTATTGGTACATTTTAGGTATATAATATAATGACATTCATCATTGTAGATTTGTACCTTTACAAAATATATCTTGAATCTTATTTCTCCCCCTTCCCCTACCCTCCCTTCAACTCTTCCCCTCTTCTCTCCTGGATGATTCAAAAACTGCCTCTAATAGAGGTAATAAACAGTGATTACTTACATAGGACTTTACACCTATTTACATCTTCTATCATCAACAGCTACCTAAGAACTCGACAAACAAGGGCCAGGGATTTAGCTCAGTGGTTTCATACCTGCCTGGCAAGTGCAAGGTCCTGAGCTTGATTCCTGGTACCAAAAATATAAATAACTTGACAGACAGTCTAGACCAGTGATGGTGAACCTTTCAGAGACTGAATGCCAAACTGCAGCCCAAAGCCCACTTATTTATTGCAGAGTGCCAACACTGCAATTTAACCTGAACACTGAGGTTTTAGTTTAGAAAAAAAACAGCTCTACATTAACATCTTTTGTATTAAAAGAAAAACACAGTAACACATTCTCCATAGGTTTGCCACGCTGCCACTGGCCTAGACCAACTTGCCCAGAGTATCACCATACTTCAAGATCAAAATAGACTCACCAGCAGGGACAGCCATACATCAAAGGGAACTAGATCTCCTGACTGCTAAAACAGAAGGGGTTATATTCATCTCTCAAAGAAAAATGTAGTTCCCATGTCAATCGGTTTGAAATAGTGAGAAATACAGCCAGAAAACGGTAACCATGCTTCTAACATCCATAAAGAACTGAGTCACGGATCTCTTGGCCAAAATCTGGAATTGGGGGTCTTAGTTACTGTCCTGGACATGGCCTTATTGGTGGGGGGGGGGGAGTGCCGGGATCAAACTGGGGTCCTTGCGCTTGTGCAGCAGGCGGCAAAACCACCAAGCTAAATCCCCAGCCCGATATTGCCTTTATTAATGCTTCTCATAACCTTATTATTTTAAGCTTACAAACTTAATCTTTTAGTCAAATTTGTTTCTTCTTGTTTGACAGCCATTAAACTACTGGTAATGGCCCTTGCTCAAAATCACTACCTGCCTCTAAATCCACGGTTGGACAAGAAATCCTTGGAGAAAGAATTCAGCTCTCCTGAACTCTTAGAGCAGTCAGAGAGAGGGTTCCTTGGTTTCCAGGGGGGTAGGACCAATGCCCCTATTCAGCTGGAAGTAGCCATGGAAGACGGAACTTCCTCCTTTTGACACCCATTAAAGATTTTGAAGGGCTGGGGCTCTCAGGGGATAATAGCAGTTGGAGCTGAGGGCCTCATTCCCTCCCACTCATTTAATTCTAAACAGTGCCCAACAGCCATTCCTCCTTCCATTCTCCTAAGAAAGAGAGAAAATAAAATAACAAAACCCCAGATCTCTGATGTTCTAGGTGAGAACACACACCTATTGGATCTCCTACTCTGTCAGTCAACTTCTCTCTACTCTCACCTCATTAAAGGTTCCTACTACATATCATGTACGTAAGTAGGATCAGGGTGAATTCTGGGACAGGAATGCAGGTTGAGAGTCCCTAAGATGACTCAGCACCCTGTCAGTGATTCCTGTCAATCACACCTAGAGATTCAGGGGGAGGCACCTGGGCAGGAGTGCATATTCTTCAAATTCCAAAAGCCTGATTCATCAGGGGCTGTTGCTGTTGCCTTTTCTGTGTGCTGTGACCTGTGTTCAGTGCTTTTACTTTTCTGGCACCATTTTTCTATCTGTGCCATATATTTTGTTGGCACAGACTTGCCCTGAGCATAACTTCCCATGATTGTCAATAAATGTAGCTGCTTTCTACTTGCTACCTAGTGTACTTGCAATTCATTGCTCATCACACATAAGAGCCTAGACTATGTCTGCCTATTCCATGATAACAAACGTACAGATTCAATAGGCTCAGTGGACCAGAATAAACCCAAAGAAATCTATACCAAGAAGCATCAGAACCAAACTTCTACAACTAAAGACAAAGAAGACCTAGTCATGGTGGGACACATGTAATTCTATCACTCAGGAGGCTGAGACAGGAGGATTGCTCTTAGTTCAAAGCTAGCCTGGAATACATAGAGAGGCCAGTCTGAACTCTGAACTACCTAGTGAGACCCTACTCCCCCCCAAATCCCAAAGCTAAGGAAAAAAACTTGTAAAAGCAGGAACAAGACTTTATCTATGAATGAAGAGCAATACAAATGGCATCAGATTTCCCATCAAAAATTGCAGAGGCCAGGAGGAAATAGCACAATATTCTCTGAGGTTCAAAGAAAAAGAGTGTCAACTGCTAATCCTATATCCAGGGAAACTGTCCTTTAGGAAAGAAGGAAGGAATTCAGACATTATGAAATGAAGAAAGCACTGTGATCCAACTGTGCTAGAAAATCATAATCTCCTCATAGATTCCTAAAATACATCAACATGAAGGTATTGACACCTTTGAATATCACTGTATTTTTTTTAGAAAAGTTCAAGAGATGAATAATAAATTTTTAACCTTTTTAAAATAGAAGACATTTTCTTTTTTGAATAAAGCCGATTGTTTTTATATTCAGAGACAGTGTTTGGAGTGAATGTTGCATGACTATGTGTAGAATACAAGGGAGAAACTCGCCAAGAAGACAACTTCAGAGCTGGATGTGATGGCACATACTTGAAGTCCCCTGTGCAGCAGGCTGAGGCAAGAATATCATCTGAGCTGAGAAGTTCAAGCCCAGCCCAGGCAACATAGTGAGACACCAGGTCAAAAAACAAAAAAAGATGATAACTTACCTCAAATGAATATGCTTTTCCAATCCCATCACCTGCTCCAGTGATAACTGCAAAAGGTAGGAATAGTTTTAAACAACTGAATTTAACTTTTCTTTCTCACTGGCTATACATTTTCTTGCAAGTTTAGTACACTAGATATTGCAAAGCAACATTACTCCACTCAATTCCAAAGTTCTCAGTCCTTGATTGCCTATCATCAAATATGCAAAATGAACAAATAGTTATTTTGTTTTGTTTCTATTTTTGTTTTGAGGGACTAGTGAGACTGTAGAAAACACTCCAAAATGCAACAAAGAATCTCAACCAAATAACATTTTATCTGGACTGCTCAGGATTTAGACAATAAAAGTCTTAATTCATCAAGGGCAAGCATTATGCCCTGTTATCACTCTCACTACCGGCCCAGTATTCATCCTAAGAATATTTCAAGGTTCTTTCTAAAGGTCAAGTTCTGCCTTCCTTTCACACACCCCCACACCTCATGGGATACACTATGGGAGACAGAGGACATAGCAAAGAAGACATCAAAACTCACAAAGGGATTGCAGGGTCCTGGGAAATCTACTCAGTAGAACTCTCTTTTGTTATACAGCACTCCAACAGGTCTTCTAAAGCTTTTCTCACCAACACTGCATGCATATTTAGTGATGGAGTTCTGGGATAAACCTCATTCTTACACACATTACTGATAGAGAAAATTTAAACTCTAGGTTAGTTATCAGGTAGCTAAAGTAGAATAAGTAATCTGTTCCTTTAAGATTTACCTTTCCCGTAACTCTTATTATTTAAGATGATAGCTAACTGAACCTTTGACCTGTAACCTAATTGTAGATAACATTTAACCTGGAGAAAAGCAAAGTAGAAATGTTTGGGTAGTTTACAATGTATGTGTTTTAGGCGCCATCTGTTTGTTGTATGTCTGTGACTGTAACCATTAATAGGAACTAGTTGTAAAAGAGAAACAGAAATTTTACTAAGACCACCAGAAATGAGGTAATGGCTAAAAGAAAATATAAAAGGTAATGTTAAAACAAAGGATGGGGTGGACATTGATCAGATGAGTTTCTGGTGGTTCCCCTCGCTAGCAAGTAAAGGCTTTGTTTTTTTACCCAACTTCTGTGTCTCCGTACATTTCTTTCCACAATTCCAGAACATTACCACTTTAAAACTCACTGCAATTCAGTACACACACAAACCTGCAACTGACTTTTGCAATAGCAATTAAATATGAACCAAAAAACCACAGTATCTTACTTGAGAATAAGCACAAGCCAAGATGTACAGTCTCAAGCAGTGCACCAGCAGAAGCCACTCCTCCACTCAATAATTATCTCTGATTTTATCTGTTCCTAAAGGTCCCTTTTGAGTGGATGCATGCACACTATGTATTCTCATTGGTAAAGAGGCCTGTGCTAGACTTCTCATGAGTCCTCCTTTATCCTCCACTATGGATGAAGTAGGAGATTAGGGCTGGGACAAGATGGACAATTAACTGGGAAGAATGTGAAAGGTCACAAAAACTCAGAGGACATGCACAGAACACAGGACACAAAATGACTCTATGGCTCCTGAGCACTGTACATAGAACCAGTCAGAAAGTGCTATTTTCAATCTTTCAGTTATATCTGGTGGGAAGCCAAGCAAGTCTTTTACTAAGGCAGTTTAAATCTAGTGCCAGGTGGGGTGAGCTTTTGATAGGACAACTGTCCCAATGCCTTATTTGAATGATAGGGAAGCCAATCCAGGAATTTTGGATACATAAGACCCCTTTCCCTTATCCCTGAGACTACTGTGAGTCTTCCCAGAAGCCCACTCTCACCCTGTACCACATACCTCTTTTATGCCTACAATAAATGTACACTTTTGCTACCTTTTCTGTGTGTCTTGTTCAATTTCTTCAGAACACCAAGAACCTGGAAACAAGCCACTAAGTCAAACTATCTGGTAACATGGGGAATCTTCAAGGTCACCCAGTACAAGGGATAGAGTATAATTTAGATTATAACACTCAAAATTATGACTAATACCTAACAAATGCTTATGTGCGATGTGCTAACTAATGTTTATGCCATGGGCAATTTCAAGTGGATTAGATGCATCATTCCAGTTAATGCTCCAAACAAGTTTATGATGCAGAGACCAGCATTATCTTTAGTTGATACACAAAGAAGCTCAGGAGAGAAAGTTCATTAAACTTCATTAAGACCTCACTGCTAAAAAAAATGACAAAAAGATTTGAATCAAGGCTGTCCAATTTTGGGGGCCCCAAGTCTATGAAAATATACTAAATGAAATAATTAGAAAATCAAATATGGAGCTCGGGGAGTTTAAAAATTCAGTCTCTATTAGGTTTTCTTCTTGTCCCTCAATTAAGATATATGATCTCTAATGTTTGCCTGTGTCCAAAGACATTTTAGTCTTGCAAATGATGACTCTATTCAGTCTTGACTCATAAAGACAGGTTAAGATTATGGTTTTCACTTTTGAGTCCACAAATGGCTTGTTTCTGGCCCCATCTTATTTTGGAATGTGTGTTCTCAGAGGGCTCAGTCCTAGGATAGCACACAGGGTCTGTGCAGATTTCAAGTCCACTCAACACATGGCCTTCACATCCATGTAGCAGGGCACTGAGGTCTGTAACACTCAGGCTCAAGCCATTTAGCAAGTTCACTGGAGACAGCATACTATGGAACAAGCAAGAACCCACATGCGCGCGCACACACACACACACACACACAATCCAAATGTAAGAAGCATCCATTATAAATCCATTGTCATTCTAAACAACTTCTCATATGGTCATTAAAAAAATTTCCAAGGCTAAACTTCTAAGGTTTCCAGGTTTAACAAATGATGATACAGGATGCCCAGCTAACTTGAATTTCAAAAGGGAAAGGGGGGGGGGTTGTTGTTGTTGTTGTTGTTTTTGGTACCAGGGATTGAACTCAGGTCCTTGCACTTGTGAGGCAGGCAGTGGAACCCCTGAGCTAAATCCCCGCCCCTAACTTGAATTTCAAGGAATAAATTTTAAACAACAACTAAATTTTAGCATGATATATCCAGATTGTAATCTACTAAAAAATTTACTTCTTCTTAATCTGAAATTCACACTTAGCACTCTGTGTTTTTTTGGACAGCCCTGTAAGGGTGTTGTGTTATTTCCTATTTAGTTTTCTTTACTTTAAAAAAATTTTTTATCAGTACATGATTGAAGTACATAACGATTACATTTATCATGGGGTAGTTTGTACATGTACATAATGCAACTTAATTTTTTTCATCCCCTCCTGTCCCTCCATCTCTTGTTCCCTTTTTAAAATTATTGGACTGATTGATTGATTGATTGATTGATTGATTGATTTTGGTGTCCCACTTTTAAATATAAGCCCCGACAAAGAACTTAGCTTTTCCCTCAAGGCAACATGAAACTCTGACCTTAACACCAGGCATAGAGCTGAAATTCTTCACAATAGTTCCAGTAAATAAATCCCATTGAGAGGCAGTATTTAATTACTGCAGACCCGACCCAGATTCTGTATCTAATCATCTCAAAAATGTGGCTCTATAGAGATCTCTGTTGCCTTGATTTTGCAACACCCTCCCTAAAGGGGCTTGGATATTTTTTTAAATAAAGTAAATTAAAAGTAAATAAAGTAAATTTTTTGAATTTGAAAAAAAAAATTTTTTGGTACCAGGGATCGAACTCAGGACCTTGCGCTTGCAAGGCAGGTGGTGGAACCACTGAGCTAAATCCCCGGCCCTGAATTTCAAATTTTTAAAACACCTTTTAACAAAATGGAAGCACTCTAGGGTTTAGAAATCTGGACATGTGAATACAAAACTTTCTGCCTTATTTATTATTTATTTCACTAGAAATCTCTGAAAAGAACACATAGCTAGCAAATTTGAAAAGATACGGACAAGAGTTGAGGAGCCTTTTTCCTTAGTTACTCTCCTGAGGGTCGCATCTTGTTTTTCACACAATCTTAATTTCACTCATTCTCTTTAGTCCCATAAATGAATTGAATTAAATTTAATTTAAAATTGAACTCCCAAAGGAATTACATCTTTGCTGTCAGAGAAAAGATGTAATATATCTTGTGAGCCTTAACTAAGAATAGACAAGAACAACCCTTAATAAAGGAAAGTTGGAAAGCCCTCCTTACCTGCCCACTGTCCCATGGATGGCAACAAAGATGAGGGTACAGCTCTCCAGAAGCTCAGAAAAATACATTTGGAGAATCTCATGCACTTCACCAGGAAAGCCAGACACACTAGCAGCCCTACAAGAACTAAGAAGTGATCCAGAGCCTCCTCCATGACTACTGTCCCACAGCAGAAGCTGCTTCAGATCTGGCCTTGGATGCCACCTCTGGCCTCCAGGGGCGGGGCCACGTAAGGCCACCTCTTTCCTTCCAGAAGCCTGGGTGTGTTCCATTTACTCAGAGACATTTAGAGTCACTTCTTTACACAGTCCTCTAGCTAACAGGTTTCTGAATGAAGTATTCTTTCTGCTATCTTAATAGCAATGGGGGTCCTCTGTTACTGTGTGGTTGATGGAGAAGAAAAACCAAACCTAGACAAAGAAAAAATGGCAGGCAGGGGTTCTTCTCCTGGATTGGAAAACTGCTATAGTTTTGTCTCCTAAAAGTTCATGTGTTGGAAGCTTGGTCCCAGGGGAGTGATGGAGACATCAAGAGGCCAGGCATAGGGGACTTCGTTAAGTCACTGGGTCAAGAGGCTATCCTCAGGGAAATATTTGACAACTAGGGAGAGTTCTTCCAAGAGCAAATTATTACAGAAGCCTGACCCTGATCCCTAAGTATCTCCCTCACTTCCTGTTTGGACATGTCATCCCTGCCACTCACACGCAATTTCACTGTTTCCAATCTAAGTGGATAGATCAACTAAGCAAAAAGCCAATAAATTTCAGAGCCAAACCACACCCTTGAGCATTTGAACTTAATGGATACATACAGAATATTCCACTCCTCTACAACATTCTTTTCAGGAATACACGATACTTTTTCCAAAATAGATCATATACTAGTCCACAAAGCTTGCTTAAGTAAATATAAAAGAATAGAAATTACCTCATGCATACTATCAGATCACTGTGAAATGAAAATAGAGACCAATGACAAGCTATTCCAGAAAAGGCAAATGCTCCTGGAAAATTAACAATATGCTCCTAAATAACCAATGGGTCACAGAAGAAATCAAAACATTTCTAGAAGTTAATGAAAATGACAGTACAGCTCAAGATAACCTCTGGGACATTATGAAAGCAGTTCTAAGAGGAAAATTCATCACAATCAATGCTGACATTAGGAAAACAGAACAAGCCCAAATAAAGGACCTTATGAGAAATCTTTTTTCTTTTTTTTTTTTTTTGCAGTACCAGGGCTCGAACTCAGGACCTCAGGACCTCAGGACCTTGTGCTTGTGAGGCAGTTTGCCCTAATAAATGAGCAGCTATAAATAGGTGACCTGGAATTGACAGACTTGGGCCATTTCTTGGGACACTTTATAACCTTGGGAAGCCAGGAAGTTAAGGAAGGACTCAGTTCCCTATCATACTTGGATCTCTGTATCCCCACAGAGCATCAAATCATCTGCATATTGTAAGAGGGTGGTGCCTTGCTTTTTGAATTCTAGCAGGTCTTGTACTAGTTATACAGGGATGATATAGGAGATGAAATAGGACTTCCAAATGATATAAGGGAAATATTATAATTCCCAATCTGTTAGATGTCTGATACACTGAGTTTGTGTTCTCTAAAATTAAAGAATGAATTCTAGGAACAATGGAGGATAAGAATAGAAAATATTTATTGAGAGGATAGATTTTGAGAGGCAGGAGGGATCCCAAATTGGTAGCTGAGGTTCCCCAATTTACAGGAAAGTTTTATAGAGCGAAACCACATGGGTACAATGTGAGTTAAAGCTATGAACAACCAATAAGTTTACAAGTATAGTCATTTGGGTAGCAGTTATCCAATGGGGAAACAAGTAATATAAGTGTGCCTGGAAAGAGCAAAGACTTTTTCTAAGAAATGATGGGTCTGGAGGTTTGGTCACCCACTAGAGTGACTGATGTCTATCTATACTTCATTAGGCTAGGTGATATCACTTATCTTGTCCTCTGGGGAAGTATGTAGGCCTGGTCCTTTCATCTTTATCATGAGACCTGGTCTCCAACAGATGTGCCTCCAGCCATGGTTGTGTTTTTATCTTTTCCACTGACTCTCTTGAGGGCCTACCCCTATCTGACTGCTTATAATATTTCTACCTAACTTAGCTATCTATAATACTAGGACTAGGCCAAACAGATGAGGGCTATCTCTCAACCCCTGGGGAGGACTGTTCAGGTCAATTCCCCAATTCCATAAGTGGATTTTCAAAAGCAGAGATTTTTTGATTGTTTGTTTAAATTCTTTTATTGGTACATTTTAGGTACACAATACATTTACATTTATCATTGGGTGTTTGCACCTGTACATGATGTATCTTGGTTCTTATTTTTTCCCCCATTACCTGTGCGCCCTTCACCCCCTCCACCCTTCCCTATTTACATAGATTTTGTTTCCATTTTTTTTCTTTTCTCACAGTTTTTCCTTTCCCTTCTTTCCTTTCCCC